AATACTTTGATTTGGTATGCACTTAACGTGGGGAGCTAATGCCAGTCTCCTGGAACTGAATGAGGGAAAAGATATGACATTCTTTGCACTATTGGTTCTGTGCCAGGCATCTGGCTGGATGCTTTATGTTATCTCATGTAATCCACAGAGATTGTGTCTAATTCAGAGTGGGGACCTGTGACCACAGGAGTGTAAAGTTCCCCTCTGCTTTTAGGAGTGAAATGAATGGGATTCAAAGAATACCTTCTCTTGGCAATGATCTTCTCTTATAATCAGCCCCTGACACATAGGTTAAGGTTACCAAAATGATAACTTGCATCAACTGATTATTTCTAGAATGACCAGTATCTCTTTCAGTATACCACATAAGAAGTCACAAAGAGAATATTTAGCTAAGGTTTTTAATGGAAAGCTATCATTATCTTGTTTTTTGTAGCCAGTAGGCGTAAGCCAGGAATCAGGTTGGAAGTGGGAGCCCTTTTGGCGGTGCTGAAAACTTTGATCAAGATTCTGCCAAGCAGTTCTTTCAGGACAAGGACTCTGCTCCACCGATTTCAGTTAATCACAGCAGGGGACAAGGCCTCAGAAGAAGGGGCTCTCCATCCTGTGATCTCCCGTTAATGACTGCAGGAATTAAAAAAAGAATTTTGTGGGTAACAGAAGTGAGGGCGGGGTGTCAATATACATGGTTTTTAAGTTATTGAGATTTTGTTGGAATTTAGTTATTTTTCTTGTTTGTGAGGAGGAGAGGCTTTAGGGGGAGGTAAGATGGGGTAGATGATGCAACAGACCATGCTGCAGGTGCATTGCCTTCTGCAGGGTAGATTGTGTCTATACCTTGGGCTGTGCCATACTTTGGATAATGATAATAATTTAATAACAACAGACTGCATATATAGGGGAGTTTAAATTTAATAAATCAGTTTTGAGGTAAGGATTTAAGAAGACACATATCAAGCTAGAATTATTAGTCAAGTTATTATCTTCTGGCCAGGGAAGCTGATTAGTCTGAGCATCTCAGCTGAGGGGAAGGGGCTAAAGAGGAGAGGGAGAGAAGGGCCTCTGGCCCTTGGTCACCTGGAAGCTGAAGGACTCAGGGGGTCCAGCTCCAGCCTTGGTCCTCACACTACTGGGCAGTGAGCAGAGCCAGCATCTCAGCCTGCTGAGACATGGACAGCAGGCCTGGAATACATGTACCTCTGGAGTAGGCAGCACTATGCTCCTGGTCTCCTGGAACTGACGTTACTTACTCAGAAATGGAATGTCTGAGATCATTAGGTCAACTCCCTCACAGATGAGGAAACTGATGCACAGAGAAGTCAAGTGACATCTCAAGTGAATACCAGAGCTGGGACCAAAGCTCGTGGCTCTTGATTCCTGGCCCAGTGACTCTAATGTCCTTGACTAATGGGCAGCTCTGCAGATGGAAAGGCATTGAAGGCTGGCAGGGAAGAATGGGAGAGCCAGGCAGATGGAAGAGAGTGGAGGGGGCAGCTGGTAGGAAATGGGAAGGCTGTAAAGAGCCAAAATATCCATTCCTCTTGGCCATGTCCCAAGGACAAACATAACTCCCAAGTGTTCCTAATAAGGGCATAAACAGTCACCCAAAAGAACCACACAAATGGATTGACCAAAGGCCATGAAATGTTGTTTATGCTTAATGAGTAAGCACTCCTATTTATTCAGACTCCTAATCCAGCTCTTTAACCTCATTCTTTCCTTTTAAGTCATTGGAGGCCTTCCTTGCCATTACTCCCTTCTCATTTGTTGTGTGGCTATCATTGTACCCAGGGACAACTGCAGTTTAGAATCTGTCTGCCCATTTCTCTCACGTTCTGGGGCAAAGGGAAATGAAGAGGAAGATGATGAACTTGGGCAATGTGACTTGCCTGAAGCATTTGATATTCTGAAAAGGGGCTATAGGAAAGAACAATGAGCCAATTCACAAGTCAACATTATGTTTATCCCTCTATTATGAGGGATACTGCCTCTACTTCTTTTGTGAGGCATAATTATTTATTAGTTTTAGCAAGACATTTCTCTGCCTGCTGATAATGAAACAAAAAAAGCATTTACTGTGCTACTCTAGAATGTGAACTGTAAGCTGTGGTCTTTTTTTTTGTTTGTTTATTTGCTTTCAGTTTTAATCTATGATCACAGGCTTAGAGGTTGAAGGGGACCATGGAGGACTGCCAGCCTCCCCACCCTCTTTCATGCGGGGAGCCTCTTCCCGACAGCCGTGCCAGTGGTTCAGATCCCTTCCCTCTGAATCCCCACAGAGAGTCGTTTCTACCTCTGTGGAAGCACTTGCTTCATTTTGCCTTAAATTACAGTTATTTGAGGACTTGTCTTAAGCCTCAGCTGTGAGCCCCTGTGGGCAGGGGGTGGATGGGCAGGAATCCTATCTTATTCCTCTTTGATCTCCTACAGCCCCCAACACAGAGCCTGGCCCGCTCTCCATAAATATTTGAATGAGTGACAAGGTGTTAAGAGTCTACAGAGGCAGCCACAGTTGGACACCTCTAATAGCTAGAAAGTTCTTCCCAAAAGTAAGCAGAAATATGCCTCCCTGTGTGCCTTGGGAGGGAGAAGAATGTAATAGGCAGTGATGACAAAGGGCTGGGTGTCTATAGGATATATCTGGGGACAGGGTAATGACTTGCTCTTACTGCTTTTCTTGCATTCCATCTGGCCAGAGTACACAAGGCCTTTCTCCAAGACAGGAAAACCCAACAACCTAGATAGATCTGGGTAAGGGGGCAGGGGCATGGATTCCAGGATTTGAATCCAGTTTGGGAGGACAGCTCTATCAGACCCTGTCAGTGTCCCAGCCATATGGCCTCAGTCTGCCCTGGGGGTCATCGGCAGGTGATTCTCGTACAGACTGACCACTTCCTGCATTTATCTGCGGTGATCACTCTCTGACCTCAGAAGTGTGCTTGGTCTGTTTGTGGGTTCGGATAGGAATGCCAGGAACTTACCCCAGGAAGGACCTTCAACCAAAGATCAATGGGACTTAGTGCATCAGTAACCCCGATTCCTCACCCCTCAGTGGGACAGCTCAGAGGTATGTTTTATGGTTTCTCAAAAGGTCTCAACAGGGATTGAACCCCAGTTGCTCATATAACTTAACATATCCTTTATTCATTTCCCTCCCTTTCCTTGTTGACTTCCCCTCCCTTTCACTATGCTTCCTGGGACCATGCCCAAGTAAACTCTGTCTCCCAAATAATTGTCTCAAGGTCTGCTTTGGGGAGAACCCAAAGTAAGACAATGACATGAGCAGGAGATTTGAGGGACTTCCCATACTATTCTTCCCATAGAAGATAAAACTGTCTGGCTCTTGAGTTTTTAAAAAAGAAGATAAAACTGTCAAAATCAGTGTGTGCTTTCCCTTCCTCCTTCTTCCTTTCTATTTTTAAGTGCAGAGTGGTTTTTCTGTCAGTTCTATAAATAGAGTTTAATTTTCAGTAGAATTTGTGTCCTAACTCAGAAAACAAGGCTGCAAATGGTTCCTACAACTTTGAGGGATAGTTATTTCCCATAACAAGAATCAGTAATATCCTAGTTCTCTTAGGGAAATGCACTATGTCAGAAAGGTCTCAGGACAGACTAATAAAAGAGATGACACATAGGGGTCATTAGACATCAGGGTGGATTTGTGTAGAAGTTCTTCACTTAACTTTTTAAACTTCCACAGAGACATTTTAAATTAAGAGAGACCCTACCAACCTGGCCCAGGTTTGGGACGGAGTGCTTAGAAGTCAGGGACAGCTAAGACGAATGGGGACCATGAGAGAGGAAAATAAAGAACCTTTATTAAACCTACTCAGTATTAATGAACTACACCTGAGTTGATAGAACCTAGAGAAAATGCTGTTACTGCAGAATATGTATAATCATTTGAGAAGATTTGTAACAAAGAATGAAGGCGTGTGAATAATCTGCCTCCCTGGTCCTCCTTTATGCAGACATATTGTGTGATTTGGAAAAGCTCCCTGTGGATGCCACAACCTTACCCGATTGTTTTGACACCTCAGATAACTAATAGGAGATAGCAGTTAAAAATAGCCATAATCACTACTGTCTTAGGTTTGTGAGGTTTTTCTTTTGTCTTGTTCCTTCCTGGAGCATTTTTCAGTGACCTAATAGGAAACAGCATACATGTTCATGAATTTTTAATTAGCAAGCAAAGATGAGAATGAATGTAAACAAAACACAAGATGACAGGAGACAATGGGCCAAGAGAGCCCCTCCTTGATGCCTTTTGGGGTACCCACAGATGCCTTTTGGGGTCAGGTGGGGAAATCTTCCTAAATCAAGCAGGGTTAAGAAAGGGCTTCACAGACCTTATTATTAGCATGGAAAAGTGTGTGGCTTCAAATGCTGTCTTTCTTTAAACCCTGTTTGATGACCAGTGCCTCAGCTCTTTTGGCAGGGCTGAAGGAGGTAGGAGGAAGGTGGGGACATTTTGCTAGGTGATAGGAAGATGTGGAATTACCGTGTCTCCTTTGCCCTCTTTGATGAGTACTTCTGCCCTGTTTGTTGTGTGTAGATGGCAATAGTGTCCTGGGTACAGCTCTCCCCTGGACAAGAGAGATGTCTCTGCCTCCTTTAGCTTGTGCCCTCGTCTGAGCCACCACTTCCAAAGAGCGCTCTTGAGAGTTATGTGCCATCCCTGGGAATGACCTCATAAGATGGTTGTGAGGATTACATAAAGCAGTCCATGTAAAGTGACAAGTGACTGCATTAAAGTGCATTAATAGTTGGCACAAAATCTATGCTGGTTCCCCACAATGAGAGGTCCCTGCTATCTACTGAAATTGAATTGTAGAAAAAGATTTCCCTTGGGCCAAAAACAAATACACTAGTATGGCCTGTACCAGCCTCTCTCAGACTTTTGTTTTGGGCAGCTCCCTACCCCAAAAGTGTGCCCCACAAGAGTGCCCAGTGGATGTCTTTTGAGCCTGCCCCACTGAGCACTCCCCTTTGCTTTCTAGAACGCCTACGTCAACATCAACCGCATCATGTCCGTGGCTTCCCGCCTCTCCGAGGCCGGCCACTATGCCTCACAGCAAATCAAGCAGATCTCTACCCAGCTGGACCAGGAGTGGAAGAGCTTCGCCGCTGCCCTGGATGAACGCAGCACCATCCTCGCCATGTCTGCTGTGTTCCACCAGAAGGCTGAACAGGTAAGGCCCAGAATCCTGCAGCAGCTGCTATTGGTGGGAAGGGTTGGGGATGGATAGGGAAGGGCTGGAGCGGAGCACACACACTCTCTATAGAGTGCTCCACCTGTCTTTTTGAAACACTGAAGACCCTGCAGAGTCATTGCAACATTAACCTATGTTCGACCACATTCATGGCCCCTGTGTGCACAAAGAAACATTGGTAACTCTTGGTGACTTTGCTTGTCATACAAACAAGAGGGTACCCAGAGCCTTTTTACATTTTGCTTGGTAGTGGTTGTGTATGCACGTGTGCATGTGTGGGCTGTCCGCGTAGTGTGCATTCTCAGAACACAGATCAAAGGGGTGAATGTAAAGTGATCATTGAGGTGCTGAGAGCAGGGGGAAACTAATTGTACATGAAGCATTTGCTATGGATAATGGTAATATAATAATAATATAATGGGTCAAGATAATAATTACTCTACTTACTAAGTGGCCAGGCATTGGCCAGTTACATGATAACCCATTTTACAAAGAGGAATACTGAAGCTCAGAGACATTAATTGATTGGCCTGCCTAAGATTCCACGATGTGTTGGAGCCTGTATTGAACCAGCTCATAGAGAGACAGATGTTAAATTTTCAGGAATTTTGTGAGCTGGTTATCACATTCTAGCTATTGCTTAATTATGTAGGTTTATAATTAAATATGTTATGTTAAAAGCAAAGTTAATAAATGCTCAAAACTCATCACTTGCTGATTATTTTACAACCTGTTGTTATTACCTATGTTCTTGAAATCATTTTTATGCATTTATGTTTTTCTGTGGCGGAAATACCATACAATTGTGTGCTATCTATGGATTACTCTTCCCAACTCCATGTTGGTGATGTCACACTGGTAGCTTAAAATACACCATGGTAGGAGTTTCATATTATAGAAATTATCAGATGCTATAAACCAGGGATTAATTCATTGCTTTATTGTTGCCTAGAGTCTAAAGAAAATGAGGGAGAAAGTGTTTGAAAATGCAGACTAAACTTAAAAATGTGTCCTGTGTATACCTGTTACATTGTGAATAACACACAAAAATCAAGGAAATATTCTTCCAATATTCAAAAACTGTTACTTGGTTCAGCAAAGAAGTCACTGACATCCTTGATGAACAAGTGATGTTCTGGCGTAGTATTCAGGTGTTTTTCACCTTTGTCTCACTCCTTAGCATAATGAAAATATCAACTAGCATGTGTGTCAAAACTACAAATGTTTGTCAGTTGCAACCATAGGTCAAAAGCATCCTGTGAGAATCAACTGGCTACATTAAATATACAATACAGAGCATTGTATATGTTGTTCTCTGTAAATGATGTGTTATACATTCTTTATATCAGTAGAATTTGTAAATGCACTTACCTGTATATATGTAATATATAGTCATATACACACGTACATATATATGCTGGTTGTTAAACATTTACTAACACACCACTGCTAAAATTGCACAATCTATGAGTAGATAGGCTATCAACTCAGGTGTGTTTAACACTAGGCCTGTGGTCTTAACCTCTACATTTCTTTCTTTGCATTACATTTGGGTAACATAGGCCAAGGAGAGTCAGACACCTGGTCACACCTTAAATCTCTCCCTCTGTTACCCTCTCTAGCGTGGAAGGCAACATAGCATAATTAAGAGTCTAGACTTTGAGGCAAGACACATGGATTCTGATCCCAGCTCCACCATTCATTTACCCTTAGACAAGTCATGTCACCATTCTGAGCTTGTTTCCTCTTCCATAATGTGGAGCTAATCATAAATAGCACAGGGCTATTTATGTGCTAAAGGGCTGTGCTAAAGATACAACATGAGAGATGGAATGTGTAAGGTGCCTCGTGTGCTTACTAAACAGTGGACGTTACTACTATGGGTATTTGCACCACGTACTATCCTGGTATCTTTTTATTTCCTCCACCTGAGAACTTCCCAAAGACTGAAATAATACTTGTGTCAAGCCCAGCCCTATACTTTGAGAGGGATGTGGCCATATCTTTTTGTCGCTGTTGTTAAGGTTGTTGGTGGTAGTGACTGATAGTGACTGGTTCATTCTTAGGGCCATGAGAATATTGATGTCCAATTTCCTGTTCTCTCTTCAACCGTATCACTTTCATACTTTATTCAAGGTTTGCCCAGATTGGTAAGGAAGACCCTCTGCTTCTCTCTTTGTCTCTCTGGCATTATATCCTTGAGGTGATCATTTTGTGGGATATGCTACAGGCCACCTGTTAGAATATTGCAGAGAAATCCCAAGAGCCTTGAAGCAGTACTCCCCCCATGATTGACACAAGAATGTCAAGTGGCTCCTAGGGTCATTTGTAAAGTAGTTATTGGTGGAGCAAAGAAACTTCTGAGATTTCAGCATGTACTTATTATATGATGTGATACTGGATGGCACCTGGCACTCTTCCAATATTGCTAAGAAATGGTCTAATGTGTTACAAAATGTACAGAATGAAAAGTCAACCACAACAATCAACAGGCCGAGGACTGAAAGCTGACAGTGACAACAAAACTAGAATGCAAACGGTTGCAGTGCCAGAACTGAGAAAACTGGAGAAGTGCACATTTATTTCATGTTTCCTGATTTGGACTGGTTTGGATCAGAAGCAATTTTATTTGTATCTATTTTTTAATGCAATTTCTGTAGGTATTACTAGTCCTTCAGGGACACTCATAAACCATGCTTCTTTTTAACTGGGGAAAAAAATGACTCAAGGCTATTTTTTTCCATGCATTTATTTAGGCAGCTCTTTATTGTCCTCATATGGGCTGTTCTTGGCAATGGGATTAAAAGGTATTTAGGCAATTAATTTAAATGGAGCTATGCATCCAGGTGAGAGAAATCACAGACAGAACAATTCCAGACTGTTGGGTGAATTATTTGCATTTTCAAGGTGCATTTTTCCACCCAATAAATCGGAGTGATTTCAGTTAGCTTACCCTTTGTGCATGAAGACCCATAGTCTTCCACAGCTGTTAATTTTAATTTTAAAATAATTTGATGTCTGTCAAAGATCTATGTCTATATATCACAACCCGGGATGCAGTAGGTATAGCACAGCCTGTCCCCCTAGACTGCCTCTCTCGTTTCCACCCTTCAGGGGACTGACCCAACAGTGGGTCAGTGGGAGACCTGTTGAGGGCAGTCTGCATCCCATATGGGATGGTCTCTGCAAGTTCCCTGGGTTCCTGGTGGTCTGTGTGAGGTGTTTTTTGCTTGTCTTCACAACTGGATGTACACACTATAAAGCACAGATGTGGAACATCTCCTTATGTTACACACAGCCCCTCACATATGCCTGTGAGTGTGCATGGGGCAAGAAGCTCTAATGTATCCGTGGAATGTGGTGAGCTGTTTCCATACCTGGACGTTACAGTTAGTGTGTAGCTATAACCTATTGAACATCTGGTGATTCACCTGCCCCCTACAGTTTCATAATAGTCAATTTTGTGGAGACTATACTTCCTAAATGGGTACCTGGGTCTGATTTCTTACCAGGAGTTAGTATTTGTAGAATTAAAAAACTCTACCCTCTACAGTGGTCTCTGAAGGCTTTCAGAAGTCCTGATGTTTTTTCCCAAGGTATCTGACGCTCTCTCCATAATCCACCCAACTCCCTACCCCCAGTGCTCCCCCACTGACCCACCCCACGTCTCCTTCCAGTTCCTGTCGGGAGTGGACGCCTGGTGCAAGATGTGCAGCGAAGGTGGTCTGCCGTCCGAGATGCAGGACCTAGAGCTGGCAATCCACCACCACCAGACCTTGTATGAGCAGGTGACCCAAGCCTACACAGAGGTGAGAATGGAACAGGGCAACCATGGGTCTTGAGCATTTCTGCATGTGGGTGGGTGACGAGGGCACTGGCCTGTGCACTGTGAAATCGCCTGGGTTGGACTAAGAAGAAGAGAGGCTGTTTTTCTTTTTTTGGTGACATCTTTAGGAACCTTGATCTATGAACTATGGTGTCTCCAACCAGGAAGGAGAACAAATTGGGGCCATTATTAGGCATCACTTTGGTGCACTCACATTCATTCTCTCTCTCTCTGTCACACATACACACACACACACACACACACACCCTATACACTTGCCTTATCCTGTGTGTGAAGATTGGACTTTCTCCTCTTGGGGGAGGAATATAAGAAAATGAAGCTGTGCTTTTCTGGAGTTTGCTTTCTGGTTGGTGAATGGACATGTATGCACTAGCCCTGCCACCTTTTTTATGAAGCAGCTCATCAAAAAAATATTAATTTTCTCACCAGAAGATCCAGAGGAAAACACACAGCGTGGAGATAGTGTTTGCAGGAGTAAAAAGCTTCCGTGAATGTGAAGGACAAAGACTCTTCCATTGAAAAATCAAAGGCAGGGGGTTGCTGTAAAGCTAAGAAAGGGAAAAAAAACTTCTTGACAGTCCTCTCAAAGTAAAAGGAAACAGCTACATAGGTACCTCTGTGTAGATATACACAAGTTAGTATGTTTGCTAACTGGCATGAATTCTGAGGAAGGGAACTGAAGGATGGAGAGGGATGGGCTGATTAAGGAAGCTGGATGAGGAGAAGTGAATTCACATACAGCCCATGTGTTTCCTCTGGGCAGGATTAGTTAGAGGAGTATTAAAATGGGTTCCTGGACCACCTGCATCAGACTCACCTGATACAGATTCCTGGGTCCCACCCAAGACTGAATCAGAATGTCAAGAAGTGAGACCTGGAACCTACATTTTAATAACTATTACCCTATTTGAATTTGATGCACATTGAAGTCTAAGAACCAATGGCTTCTGGGTAAGAATAAGGGTTTTTGCCACAGTCAAACTGAATTTGAATCCTGGCTCTCCAATTTACTAGCTGTGTGACCTCAGACAAGTTACTTAACCACTCTGAGCTTCGTTTCATCTGTGAAATGAAAGTGGTAACACCTGCCTCATAGGATAGTGTCGAGGTTATAAAGGTAATGCATGACAATTCACAATTGCAAAATTGTGGAACCAGCCTAAATGTCTATCAGCCAACGAATGGATAAAGAAAAATGTGGTATATATACACCATAGAATACTACTCAGCCATAAAAAGGAACAAAATAATGGCATTCACAGCAATCTGAATGGAGTTGGAGACCATTATTCTAAGTGAAGTAACTCAGGAATGGAAAACCAAGTATCGCATATTCTCACCTTTAAGTGGGAGCTAACCAAACACCACCTGTTCCCCAAAACAATTTAAATAAATAAATCATAGTACCCAACAAAAAATTTAAAAAATAAAATGAAGGTAATGTATATAATGCACTTGGCCCAGTGTCTGATAGTAATGAGCACTAAAAAATGGTAATGTATTCTGTCATTGTAGAAGGCACAATGAAGGACTTATGAGCCAAATCTGATCTCATCAGCTCTGATCCATATGGCCCAAAGCTTTCTGTCTTATAACAGAACTGTGCCTCTGCCCATGGGTCAAGAATCTTTAAATTTACTCCTTGCAAAATACAAATATAGAGAGTACAAATGAGATTAATATTATACTTCCACATGTGTGAGGTGCGGGTATAATTATACATATAGACACAATATTTCTCTCAATTAATTATCAGGCCCTAGCATTGTGAGCTTAAACCTTCCCTTCAACCCCACTTCAGAGGCCAGTGAGCTGTCCCTGCTTCCTACAGATATAGAGACTGAGGCAGAGAATTGGAGCTCATGCAGGGTGGATTTCTAGGACTTGGGCCTCCATCTCTAACCACCCTGCCCTGGACATAGCATGGTGCCAAAAGGCAGCATTTGCTCAGAATTCCAGGAAGAGAGCGCTCCTGGGTTTGGCTATAGGATATTTGTCTTACTCATGTCTCTGGTGGGCATCACCTCTGCATTATTTATAAACTACTTCCCCCACCCCACTCTCCTGGCAGTCTATGGGAGATGGGGATGGTGGGATTGGGTGGGTGGTGGTGGTTTCCTCTCCTGGCCTCTGCTGCACTCTACTCCAGCACCCCTCCTAACCACCCTGCCCTGAAGGCCCTTCTGTGGCCCCATGGGCAGGAGGAGTAACAGCTGCTCCTGTATTCCTGGACCCCCAGCCAAGCTATTATCAGGGACCAAAGGAAGGGTGAGGGGAGTATGCAAACCCGGCAAACAGCTTCATCATCAGAGGTGTGGAGATGGAAACACACCTCATTCCCTACCTTGCTGATGAGATAAAAGACCATTTTCATCTCCAAAAGCCTTCTTTTGGGGAAGACTCCAAGCCAACTTTGATTTAGTTGGTAACCAAGTTTGGGGACTCAACATTTCTATCAATTCCCAGTCACCCCTGTTTTAAATTGGAAAGATGCATGTTCTGTTGGGTACTTTGCCGAGTACAGGAGGGCCACAGGTGTTGATTGTATGATGTCACTTTCCAGAATTATTGTTGCCTGCGATTGTGCCAGAACTCCAATGAGAAGAATGGCAGAGAGTGTCATCCCACTTTTCTCAGACTGAGGGCGAGTGTTGGGATGTGGATGGTGTGTCCACAGTCTAAGTGTCCCAGCCTTTCTCTGCATGTTCTAGAAAAATGAGGATTTTACTGCTTTTCAGAAGAAAGAAGGGGGTCGTATAGAGCAAGAGCAAAGTATTTTAAAAGGATAAAGACAAAAGAAAGAAAATGACAAGGAAATAAAGAGGATGGGAGGGAGATGATGATGATTATGATGATGGTTGTATTAGTCTGTTCTCATGCCACTAATAAAAACATACCTGAGACTGGGTAATTTATTAAAAAAAAAAAAGAAGAAAAAAAACAGGTTTGATGGACTTACAGTTTCACATGGCCATGGAGGCCTCACAATCATGGCAGAAAGTGAAAGAGGAGCAAAGGCATGTCTTACATGGTGGCAGTCAAGAGAGTGTGTGCAGGGGAATTGCCCTTTTATAAAACCATCAGATCTCATGAGACTTATTCACTAACATGAGAACAGCACAGGAAAAACCCATCCCCATGATTCAATTACCTCCCACCAGGTCCCTCCCACAACATGTGAGGATTATGGGAACTACAATTCAAGATGAGATTTGAATGGGGACACAGACAAACCATATCAATGGTGATGCTGGTGAAGATAAAATTGGTAGCCAGTATCACGTCAGGCTCTATTCTAAACACTGTATGTGTGTTAACTCATTTAATCCTCACCATGACTTTATGAAATATGTACATAATTCTCCCTCTTTTACAGAGAAGGAAACTGAGGACCAAGGGGGTTAAATAACTTGTCTCTTGTCACACATCTAGAATTTTAGAGCCAGATAGAGGAATTTGGGAAAGAAAGAGCAGGAGAGAATTATGGTGGGAACTTATATTGACTTCATTTCTGAAATGAAGTTATACTGTCTTCCCCGGTGTGAGTCAGTTAAAATATTTACCAAGCCTGGGCGCGGTGGCTCACGCCTGTAATCCAAGCACTTTGGGAGGCTGAGGTGGGCGGATCACCTGAAGTCTGGAGTTCGAGACCAGCCTGGCCAACATAGTGAAACCCCATCTCTACTAAAAATACAAAAATTAGACAGGCATGGTGGCACGCGCCTGTAATCCCAACTACTCAGGAGACTGAGGCAGGAGAATTGCTTGAACCCGGGAGGCAGAGGTTGCAGTGAGCGGAGATCGCACCATTGATTGCACTCCAGCCTGGGGACAAGAGCGAGATTTTGTCTCAAAAACAAACAAGCAAACAAACAACAACAACAACTAAAATTTGCCAAGTTCCTACTGTGTGCCAGGCACTGTTTTGGGCATTGAGGGGAGAGCAGCAAGTAGGCAGTGTCTCTGCCCTCACAGAGCTGAAATTCAGGAGGGGAGAGAGTCTCACAGACAACTGGCCAGCACTCCGGCAACTCCCCCATCAGGGAATTCCAGGTGCTTGGCCCTCCACCAGGCTGGAGGATCATGGCAGCTCTGGCTGGCTAGGTGTCTGGGTATGGGATTCCTGAGATTCTTAGAAGGCATAGTCAGGGACCCTCAGGCAGATACTTACTGCTTCTCTCTGTGCCCTGCCTATCACCCTTTTCCCTTAACCTAAACTTCTCTCTTTCCTGCAGGTCAGCCAGGATGGCAAAGCACTGCTAGATGTACTACAGCGGCCCCTGAGCCCTGGGAACTCAGAATCCCTCACGGCCACAGCCAACTACTCCAAGGCAGTGCACCAAGTGCTGGACGTGGTGCACGAGGTGTTACATCACCAGCGACGGCTGGAGAGCATCTGGCAGCACCGCAAGGTGCGGCTCCACCAGCGGCTGCAGCTCTGTGTCTTCCAGCAGGACGTACAGCAGGTAACAGGCTCTGAGCCCTGGTGTCCATCATCCATTCTAGGAGGCAGACCGAGCTCAAGTCCCTGATCTAGGTGATCAGGCTTAGGAGAGCACAGACGTATAGAGGGAAAAATGAAATTCAGCTCTCAAGTGCTCCACAGAACCCCCACCAAAACACAAAACAAAAACTGGACCTGTGAATTGCATGTTTCTTGCCTAAGTGACTTTATAGACTGGCCTTCTCACCATGTGATATTGGAAAGGGAGACTTAGTTTCAGGAACTGCAATTCGTCATTGTCATATGGCACATTTTTCTTTGGTTTTGTTTTGTTTTGTTTTTTGGAGACAGTCTCGCTCTGCTGCCCAGGCTGGAGTACAGTGGTGTAATCTTGGCTCATTGCAACCTCCACTTTCTGGGTTCAAGTGATTCTTGTGCCTCAGCCTCCCAAGTAGCTGGGATTAAGGGCATGTGCCACCACACCCAGCTAATTTTTGTATTTTTGGTGGAGATGGGGTTTCACCATGTTGGCCAGGCTGGTCTTGAACTCCTGACCTCAGGTGACCTGCCTGCCTCGGCCTCCCAAACTGTCAATATGGGTTAGGGTTAGGGCCAATGTGGCACATTTTTCGTTTGGTGAGCTTGACCCACACTCAGGCAGTGATTGCTAGACAGCTCAGGGGTGGGTGGTTATCTGAGCACTGTCAGGCTTGGACCCTACATATGGTCCGTCTGGGATGCAGGTGGCCTGCCAGAGTGGAGGTGAAGTGGGGTACAGGGACCTTCAGAGGATTCCTTTACAAGGTTGGACCAGGAAAATCAGATTTAAAACCTGGGCTGTTGTTCAGTGTATGTTTCATGATTACAGGTTATTTCTGACTTTATATAGTTTTTTTTGTATTATGACATCAGTTGTGACTTTTTCCTTTACCACTAATAACAAAGAAATGGTTATGTTTCTGACCACAAAAGGACAGTCTTGCTACAAATGCCCTTTCAGATGAAATAACCCATTCTTTTCTCCTTGTACTTTCTCTGTTTCTGTCTTCCAGGGGACCCTGGGATCTTTGCTGGAGGATTGATATACTAGGGCGGGGGGAGCTGGTTGGGAGATGGGGACTGAGATCCAGTCTCACTGTCTGTCATCTCTCTCTTAGTTCACCATAGGAGAACTAAGGATGGGCTTAGTTGTCCTAGGATGGGCTCTGCAGAGCTTCAGAGGAGCTGCTGGGGTGGACGCACTTGTGTTCAACACCTGTTTGACTTTTCTGTGGCTACCGTGTAACTCCAGGATTATACATATAAAATAACAATTCACTCTCCTTTCATTCTTTTGTGGCATCGGCCAGGTATAATCCAAGGATAATCTAATTTATCTACTGTATTATATAATACAATGTAATCCATTGTATATTTCCAGTGTAGTGAAATACACATGGCAAATTGAGAGCCAACTGTACATGTCTTTGGGATATTGGTTCCCTTCACCGGTGTCATTAGAGGGGCCTCTGGTGCTGGGTGCCTGAAGTAGTCAGGCTGAGTGGAGGGAGAGTTGAGCATTCTTGTCACTGACTGTGACACCCTCTGACTAGGGGGATAGTCACTGTGCAATCAGTCCCAGGAGCAGATGGGCCTTCAAGCATGTCCTCACTTCTTGGGCTGCCATAACTCGCCTTGCAGAGTCCTCTTCTGACTGGAGCATCAGTTGAGTCATCAGAGGCAACACCTCAGTCCCAGGAGAAATGGGCAGTACTGATGTGCTGGCCGCAGTTCTGAAGCCCTCATGGGGCCTGCTGGGAGTGGAGAAGCAAATGAATCAGTTGCCTACTCCTGCCATCTGGAGCTATCCTGATAAATATATCACTCCTGAGTGCAGGAGAGCACAGGAGGTAGTCTGTGATTGAGACAGAGTGAGGTACCAGCCTCTGAAGGCACAAAGGAGAGGCGTTGCTATTTCAGTGAACTCTCCATGACTCTCAGAGATGATCTGGGTCATCAATTGTACAATATCCATGGTGTCCTCTTTACCCTCATGCTGATTTTACAGCTGTTGTCCTGGAGAGCTGCAGAGGGGCTGCCAGGAGGGTGGGTGAAAGGCCTCCCCAAGAGGAGGGTGGCATTCCAGACTCCAACTATCAGGGAACTGCTGTGATCTGACTTTTCTGTGGCCACCATGACATCTAAACTAAAGCTAAGAAAAAGTATAAAACCACACCTGTGGTTGTTCTGCATCATGCTTTTAAAAATGAGAGCCTTTCTGAAATTAAGACCCTGTCAGTTCATCACTTTCTTGTTTGTAAATCCATGAGCATGAAATCTTTTTCCATTTATTTGTGTCCTCTTACTTCCTTCAGCAGTGGTTTGTAGTTCTCCTTGAAGAGGTACTTCACATCCCTTGTAGTTATGTACCTAGGTATTTTATTCTCTTTGTAGCAATTGTGAGTGGGAGTTCACTCATCATTTGGCTCTCTATTATTGGTTTATAGGAATGCTTGTGATTTTTGCACATTCCAGAATTATGCAAAAAATCAGTTGCATTGATTTTGTATCTTGAGACTTTGCTGAAGTTCTTATCAGCTTAAGATTTTGGACCAACATCTAGAGAAGTAAAGAAAGCAAGACATTACAAGTTTTGATGGAGGCTTAAAATGTTGAATTTTTAGAAAATGCTCTGAATCCCAGAAACCTCAAAGAAATCCAGAGACCTGGTGAATAGCAATGTCAGGAATATAAGACAAGGTGAGGACAAGGTGGCTCTTACCATTAGAAGTTAATATAAGAAATTGAGAGTAGAAAATATGTACGTGACTAGGTTGTATTTCTGTCAGTCTTTTTACCTCATGTGTAATCTTTTAAAGTTATTTGAATATTATCCTAAGCAAACTAACACAGGAATAGAGAACCAAACACCACATGTTATCACTTATAAGCAGAAGCTGAACACTGAACACACATGGACACAAAGACGGGAACAGTAGGCACTAGGGACTGCTTGAGTGGGGAAGGTGGGAAGGAGGTGTGGGTTCAAGGCTGCCTATCAAGTACTCTGCTCAGTATCTTGGTGATGGGATCACTCATACACTAAGCCTCAGTGACATGCAATTTACCTATGTAACAAACCTGCACATGTACCCCCAAACCTAAAATAAAAGTAAATAAAAAGCAACAAAAAATAAAAAAATAAAAAAGATTTTTGGGTCAAGACGATAGGGTTTTCTAAATATACAATCATGTCATCTGCAAACAAAGACAATTTGACTTCCTCTCTTCCTATTTGAATACCCTTTATTTCTTTCTCTTGCCTGATTGCCCTGGCCAGAACTTCCAATACTGTGTTGAATAGGAGTGGTGAGAGAGGGTATCTTTGTCTTGTGCTGATTTTCAAAAGGAATGCATCTAGCTTTTGCCCATTCAGTATGATATTGGCTGTGGGTTTGTCATAAATAGCTTTCATTATTTTGAGATACATTCCATCAGTACCTAGTTTATTGAGAGTTTTTAGCATGAAGGGGTGTTGAATTTTATCAGCCTTTTCTGCCTCTATTGAGATAATCATGTGGTTTTTGTCATTGATTCTGTTTATGTGATAGATTATGTTTATTGATTTGCATATGTTGAACCAGCCTTGCATCCTAGAAATGAAGCTGACTTGATCGTGGTGGATAAGCTTTTTGATGTGTTACTGGATTTGTTTGGCCAGTATTTTATTGAGGATTTTTGCATTGATGTTCATCAGGGATATTGGCCTGAAATTTTCTTTTTTTGTTGTGTCTCTGACAGGTTTTGGTATCAGGATGATGCTGACCTCATAAAATGAGTTAGGGAGGAGTCCCTCTTTTTCTATTGTTTGGAATAGTTTCAGAAGGAATGATAACAGCTCCTCTTTGTATCTCTGGTAGAATTTGACTGTGAATCCATCTGCTCCTGGACTTTTTTTGGTTGGTAGGCTATTAATTACTGCCTCAATTTGAGAACTTGTTATTGGTCTATTTGGGGATTCAACTTCTTCCTGATTTAGTCTTGGGAGGGTGTCTGTGTCCAGGAATTTATCCATTTCTTCTGGATTTTCTGGTTTATTTGCATAGAGGTGTTTATAGTATTCTCTGATGGTAGTTCATATTTCTGTGGGATCAGCGGTGATATCTCCTTTATCATTTTTTATGTGTCTATTTGATTCTTCTTTTTCTTTATTAGGCTAGTGATCTATCTATTTTGTTAATCTTTTCAAAAACCAGCTGCTGGATTCATTGATTTTTTGAAGGGTTTTTTGTGTCTTGATCTCCTTCAGTTCTTCTCTGATCTTAATTATTTCTTGTCTTCTGCTAGCTTTTGAATTTATTTGCTCTTGCTTCTCTGGTTCTTTTAATTGTGATGTTACGGTATCAATTTTAGATCTTTCCCGCTTCCTTCTGTGGGCATGTAGTGTTATAAATTTCCCTCGGAGCACTACTTTAGCTGTGTCCCAGAGATTCTGGTATGTTGTGTCTTTGTTCTCATTGGTTTCAAAGAACTTCTTTATTTCTGCCTTAATTTCATTATTTACCCAGTAGTCATTCAGGAGCAGGTTGCTCAGTTCCCATGTAGATGTGTGGTTTTGAGTGAGCTTCTTAATCCTGAGTTCTAATTTGATTGCACTGTGGTCTAAGAGACTGTTTGTTATTACTTCCGTTCTTTTGCATTTGCTGAGGAGTGTTTTACTTCCAATTTTGTGGTTAATTTTAGAATAAGTGCGATGTGGTGCTGAGAAGAATGTGTATTCTGTTGATTTGGGGTGGAGAGATCTGTAGATGTCTATTAGGTCCACTTGGTCCAGAGCTGAATTCAAGTCCTGAACATCCTTGTTAATTTTCTGTCATGTTGATATGACTAATATTGACAGTGGGGTGTTAAAGTCTTCCACTATTATTGTGTGGGAGTCTAACTCTCTTTGTAGGTCTCTGCGAACTTGCTTTATGAATCTGGGTGCTCCTGTATTGGGTGCAAGGAAACCCAATGCACTTTCTGTTTTTTATTCTCCCCTAA